GTGCAATGCCATAGTACTTAATAGACTCATAAAAGATACAGAAAGAATACCAGAGTGATCATCTTTCACTTGTTGAAGCTACTTTCCACCCATTCCTCTGCTATTCCTTGCTTATTGGATGAGTATCTCTTATGTGTTTTAAGCCAAATGACCTAAAAGTATACTGATTTACGGTACACACAGACAGGCATGCACAGGTATAATAGTCAAATTATAATTTAATAGAAAGTAGGAATAGTCCTAACCATCTTTCGTGTTTTGCATTGTCCCACAAAAATTAAAACAAAAGATGGCACATACACGGTATCATAACTATAATCTACAAGCAGAGAAGTCCAAAAAAGAAATGTCATAGATGAAACAAAAGCTTGGATACAAAGATGTCCCCACAGTTGCCAAGAGCTTTCTCAGCACCCAAATGAAGGTTCTAGCAGAAGATTATAAAAGCACACAAATCTACCACCACAACCCACTAAAAACAGGAACTTTAACAAAATAATAGCAAGGATTTAGCTAACATTCACAGAGCCAGCACAATCTCAATTAAACAAACTAGAAAAAAAGCAACAGATTGAACCTTAGTGATTCAGAAAAGGAAAATGAAAAGTAGAACTGACCATCTTGGAACTGAAACTGAAAACCCTAAACTGGTCGAAGGAGAAGGGCAGAGAGACAGTTCAAGAGAGAAGCTAAAAGTTGATCCCTTTCTCTCTTTAAAACTCTCCCTTCAGAACTAGAGACGATTTCGAAGGGATAATTTCAGCCTTTCAGGTGGGTTTTGAAGAACATGGTCTGAGCAGACTGTTTTTGAGGGTTTTTTTTTTAAATTATCATTTTTATTTATTTAGTTTATGTTAAGTGGCGTCGTTGTGCTCTGAAAGATATCCAAAAAACCCCAGCGTAGAAGTTCGTTCCTTTCTCTCTGCAAAATCCAAAACCCTAGCTTCAAGTTTCAGCTTCGATTTGAGTATCTGGGTTTCACAGGAAGATCCTATGAAAATTTCTGTAAATTTGGATATTAAAAAATCAGAGGAGAATGGATATTAAAAACCAAAGAAATCGTTAGAAATCTGGAATTTTAAATATTAGATTGAGAACTTCTATACGGTAATCACACTGATATAATTTCTGTAAATTTGGGATGTTTGTGGTTTAGTCAATCTCTGCTGGTTGGAAGCTGGGTTGACGATGATGATTTGCCAGTCATGAGTTTATTTTTTGCATGTTTATTCTGTAAAGTTATGTCCTCTCTGATGCGGACTTGATTTAGCTTCCTGAGCATTAGATCCTTCCATAAACTTAAGTGAATATGTATATTATGTGGTCTGTTGCCGGTCTTCATTGATGTTCAAGCAGTTGTATTTTATCTTTAGGTTTAATCTTTCATTGGCATACTTAAAGAGTTCAGAAGGTTAGATTTCATGGTGTCTATTGGATTCCTTTCTTGTCTGTTCAGAATGCGTCTTCTTTAGTTTCAGTTAAATTGATTGCAGCAGTGAAATCTATCCTCATCTTAGGTTGTTTCGAGTTTCAGTCTGCTGTGTAGTTTTGGGTTGATTTAATGGTGAAAAAAAGTTGAATAGGCATTGTCTTTAATCTCATTTGTGAATAATGACAATTTTGATCGGTTTTGGTATCTCTTTGGGGTCGACTTTTTGGGTTTTGATTTGAATCTTTATCATGTTCTATAGGATTTCCTGTATAAACCACAAGCTTATTTAATTGTGCATTCATTTGCCATTCAATTTGGGATTGGGGCTCTGGCTGCATTTGTCTTTCTCTTCAAGTAAAACTTATTTCTTCTGAGCTTTATTTTTTTAGTTGATTTTTGTAATGAATCAAACTATTCATTCTCTTTTACATCTCATAGTCACCTCATTCATTTGAAATTCTGAATAGGAGAGTCTTTCTCCTTCTAGTCTAGGGTTTGAGAGGAGGCTTTTTGTCACCTCAAGGGAGGAAAATAAATAAAATAAAACAGAAGGCACAGTCTTTAACAGAAATGAATAGGTGTATATATGACTTGTCATCTCGTTTGAATTGGTGAATTTTTGTCAATATTATGCAGTGTATTTTTTGCTTCTGCTATAAATCTTTCTGGTATATCATGCAGTGTTATGATTCTTGTGAAGAAAGTAGAAAAGAAGTTAGACATAGTAAAGGGAGACTGGGAGAGGGACTTTAAGCTTGGTTGTTTGAATGATTTTTCTTACCAAGATCTGACTGTCTAATTTCTTATTTGTCTGATGGATGTTTTAGCTTAGTGAAGCAGAACTACCTGCAAAACTGTCAAGCAGAGGTTGAGATGGAAGTTGTTCCAAGAGAGGTTGATAATGCTTTGTCTGGTCCAAGGGCAATGGAATGGTCTGTTGTTCCACATGCTCCTCAAGCACATGAAAGGAATGGAAACAAACGGACATCTAGTCTGGAATCACCAATCATGTTGCTGACTGGTCATCAGAGTGCTGTATACACCATGAAGTTCAATCCTGCTGGAACTGTTAATTGCAACTGGGTCTCATGACAAAGAAATTTTCCTTTGGAATGTGCAAGGGGACTGCAAAAACTTTGTGGTGCTAAAGGGACATAAGAATGCAGTATTGGATCTTCACTGGACTACCGATGGGACCCAGATAATATCAGCCAGCCCTGACAAAACCTTGAGAGCATGGGATGTGGAAACTGGTAAGCAAATTAAGAAGATGGCAGAACACTCGTCCTTTGTGAATACATGCTGTCCTTCACGCAGGGGACCACTGCTTGTTGTCAGTGGATCTGATGATGGAACTGCCAAACTTTGGGACATGCGTCAGAGGGGTGCGATCCAAACATTTCCAGATAAATATCAAATTACAGCTGTTAGTTTCTCTGATGCATCAGATAAGATTTTCACTGGTGGTATTGACAATGATGTCAAGGTTTGGGACTTGCGTAAAGGTGAAGTAACGATGACACTTCAAGGTCATCAAGATATGATAACTGGCATGAGTCTAAGTCCTGATGGTTCTTATCTTCTTACCAACGGCATGGACTGCAAACTCT